GTCTGTGGCAGAATGCTTCGCTTATCGCTTATCTCGGGACAGATTACTCGTAAACTTGCGGTTCTTCATGAACACCCGCCTCAGAGTGAATACTGAATACTGGATACTGAACAGTGGATACTGGATCTCGGCAGATTCAGATACTGCCTACATTCTGTGATGTTGTGCTGTTTTTCTTGGGACTTTCCCCCCTTTTACATGGCCCACGAAAACGATTATTGTTGCTGTCTCTCTATTTGCTTGAGTTGTCAGCGCCAGCGACAAAAAACGTGGAGCGTGGAAAGGCACCGCTTCAAAGGAAATCACATTGCGTATACGCAATGTGCAAATAAACAAGACGACAAGAGGCACAAAAAACGAAGAGAATCGCAAACAAACATGGACAAAATCGACGGAAGCCAAATGGCGACAACGTTGCCAGTGTTGTCGTTGTTTTTTGTCGTTTGTCGTTTTGCTATTTTCTAGTTTTATTAGTTCTGCCAGCATTTTGGCCACACGTGCCAGCCATCCATCCAACCATCTATCCATCTGCCTGGTCCCCAGAACTGAGAGCTCGCGAAAATGTGTGTTTTCCTCCCTGACTTCCTCCGGCCGTGTCTATGGATGTGTGTTTATGGATTTGAACAACATCATTTGACTGTTTGCTGCCAGCTTGATTGGAAACGAATCGAAAGATACGGCGGGTAAAGGGAAAGAGGTGATATCTTACTCGGAGATTGGTATTCTGTCTGGCTTTTAGATAGCTTCTTTTCTTTTCATAATTTCTTTAGCTTCTGGTGTATCGTATTTCCTTTTGGAATGCCATCAAAAGGCTTTTAAAAAGTATCTCGCTATCGTTGCTCAAAGTATGCGGAATATATAACAATCTTCAACAGGAAATATTGTCACTTAAAATTTTTGTGGATATATATGCTCAGAAAATTGTTAGTGGCATTCGTAGATAGAACAATTGAATGGAGTCCATAGCAGATCTGCAGGTTACTCACTTCAGCACTGCTGTAAAAAATCCATTTTATATCTCAACAAAAAGAATAAATATACGGATACGAATACCCGTGAACAACCTGTTGTCGAATTGGTTCGGTTACCAGTCTGAAAAGGCCATTGCATTGCAGTTTTTATGGCGACAATCGTCAGCGGTGAGCAATTGTTTGCCATTGCCTAGGCCAACACGACGTATGCGCAATGCTTCCATCCACAGTATTGAAGCTCCACCTACTTACGGGTGGGTATACGTACGTATACGGGGCCCTTATCTCTTCGGAGGTGTAATCATGCAAATATTATACTATCAGACCATTAAGTGAAGTGAATTGAAGTGCTTCTACGCCCCAACTCCCCATTTGCTCTGCAGAGGGGGGCGCGTGCTGCAATTACGAGTACGATTATATCCAGACAGACAAGATAGTGTGTATGATATATATCCGTACTTGAATGTACGAGTGGTACTCGTATTTGTTTTGAACCGATAAATCACGGCACTGGACTTTATTCGAGAGAATCCAGCAATGACACAATGTCGCGGGCCAATGAAAATGAATCAAAAATAATCAAATAAATAACATTCAAACGAATTCGAAATCATAAATAACCAAAGAGTGGAAGGGAGCGGGGAAAACTGAGTGAGGGAAAATTTATATGAATTTTATTTTTTTGGAAAAACTTCCGCTGACAGCGGAGGCAGCAGAAGCAGCAGCAACAGCGGCGGCATCTTCTGAGCCGAATGTGGGTCACCAGCGAAGCTGCCAAAATAAATTGTCTCTTATTCCACCACTCGCGCATCCGAGTATTGGGAAAATTATATATTTTCCGAGAAAAGATAATAAGCAAAAGTGCATTTGGGGATAAACCCAAAAGCCCAACGAGCGAACAATGATCGAAGCGCCATAATGACTATGTAAATGAATGGAATGGAATGGGTGGAGTGAGTGGTATGAGTATGAATATGAAAATGAATGGCGGCGATGAGTTCGCAGGCAATTTGGCCTGACAGATGGCGCCAGTCGGCGTGTCGCACGCAATTTTGCTGATTAATTCAATGCAAACGGATTTAATAACCCGATCCCCCCGATTCACCCGATTCCGATCCCCGATCCCCGATCCCCGATCCCGCAGTGCAACGTTGCCTCCTCAACCGCAATGCGATAACCACATGCTACTGATGCTGCCTGTCTCCGTGGTGTCTCCGAGCCCCCCTCCTTCTTTCCTTCCACAACCCCGCTTTTCACCATTTTCCTCGGGGACTCGTTGATGGATTTGCATGAATCATTGGCGGCCGCGTCACGCTCGAGAAGAAAAGCGCGTCGCGGGGCACAACTGAAATGAAATGCAAAAAAAAAAAATACAAGAAGAAATATTATTTGAAATATGAAAAGTTATTTTAATGCGCCTTGTCGCTGCTTGTCTCCGTCTCCGTCTCCGTCTCTGTCTGCCGCCTAGTGTCTCCTCTCCTTCTCTGGGTGTGTGCTAAATTTGGGGAGCAGGCAACGGCAACTGACGACAGTTTTCCTACGTTTGCTTTGCTTTTGGCAGTGCTTCCTCTCGTTTTTGCTGCTGTTGTGCCAGACTTTTCCGGAAGCGCGGCGCGACAGCAGCAGCCGGCTTTGACGTAGGCACTGGCCAAAGTTGTTGTTGACGCACTCGTGGCGCAAGAAAATACCATTGGCGGAGAGGCCAATGAGCCCTGGACTGGAGTGTATCGAATTTCAGCTCAAAACTATGAAATGTTCATCCTTTTTCGTCTGGCATTTAAAGAGTTCAAAGCAGCCAGAAAATTAATCCATCGATAGCACCTATAATATTCGCATCCTAGCGTTTTCATGCCTGTTCTTTGTGGATTATGAATCACATTCAATCATTCTCCGCCATATTCCGTCATTATATTGGATCTCCATTTATCGTACATCCTTTTTGAATAAGGCATAAAAGCTAAGCTTCCAAATCTGTCCATCGGAATCGATGAAGCCCATGCTTGAACAAATTCCAATGGCAATGCCAATTCCAATTCCCAAAAGACCAATGGCCCGACGAGACGCTCGTATATACAATACAATATTTTTTAAGCGCATAATTAAGTCATAATAAGAGTAATGGAGGTGGAGAGTAGGTTGGGGAGTCTGGTATGGGAGGTATTGGCTGGAGAGGGCCAATATGATATGCCAATTTTTGTCCGAACACACGGAGAAGGCAAATAAAATGTTCATCTTATTATTCTGGCGGGGATTTGGGGGCAAATCAAAGCGCGAGCCGCAGGGAGAGGACAGGGAGTAGGGTTGTTGGTCATGACAATTGTCAACTTGTTTTGCGTGTGCTCTGTTTCTGTATCTGTGCATCTGGGTATGTGTGGTATCTGTGTGTGTGTGGTGCTGCCTTCAATTCTTAATCGCCTTGTGAGTCGACGTTTCGGGTCTCTGCCACACACACAGTGACAGAGGGACAGAGGGACAGAGAGACAGAGGGACAACAGACAATTTGGGAGCGTGAGAAAGTGGCGCGCACAATTAAAATGCTGCTTTATGGCCCGACGCTGAGCCCCAACATAAATTATAAACAATAATTTATCTTTGAATGTACATATACTCGAGCGTTTTGATAGAATAAATACACCTATCTATATAAACATCTATCTATATATCCATCGTATACGAGTATATATGCATAAATATCTAAAAGTCCCAGACCTCTGTCTGGCCACGCGATCCTCGTCGCATAAATTACCATTCGTTCGGCCTTAAATCAGCGCAAATTTTAGCAGACTGCTTGGAACGCTGTGTATCGGTATCTGTATCTGATAGATACACCGGCATACACTTGTGTTGTGTGTATTGCATAATGACATACAGTAGAAATGCATTTCCCTGGCACACACCCACCCCAGACCCCAGACCACAGAGCGCAGTGCCAGTGCCACCCACCTCAGAGCAGAACATAACAGAACCCCCGAAATAGATCGACCAATCGATGAATGATCATGATCATCAGGGGATGAATCACTGAATCACTGGGACAGCGCACGCAGATCTCGATTAGCATGTGACGAGTACTTGGACACTCACTACGCCCCTCAACTGTCCGGCACGGCACCCTCCCCGGCTCATGGGACACGTGATATGGCGGCTAATTTAGGCACTTGACAGCGCGGGGGAGTGGCACATAGCCACTCGAGACAGAGGCAGAGGCAGAGGCAAGTTTCATTGCCAATTCGAAGGAATGAGTCAGTGTGCAATTGGCTAACTCATATATCAGCGGAATGTGGGACTAGTTCTATTGATAAACTGCAACACTGCAAGATTATGGGGCACGTGATGGAAAGTGGTAATGGTCAGAGCTGAATCAGTTGACTAAGGCCCGAGAGCGATAGAGGACTGTATTCCAGAATATTCAATAGCAATACATTTTCTAACAATAAATCAGTCATAATAGGCGCTACTACAGTTCGTAGTATACAATTCATTTGTGCAGAATATAGCATTGCAATGTTCTGGAAATAAATTCGTTGCATGGGAGTTCGTAATAGAGAAGTTCGACTGTATATACATACATTGTATATTGTATATCCAACATTCCAATCGCATTTCTTTGAATCATATTATAGCTTCCTCTTTTCGCACCATCATCACAGCTTGACCAATTTTCCAGTCCATGAATCTTTCCTGCCTGAAAGTCCCAGACAAATTAGAATTTTTTTTTAACGATCTCCAAGCAACCTAAGAATCAACATACGCGACGATCATAAAAAAATAAAGAGGAAATTCTTTAAGAATCTCAATAATTTCTAGTTTGCTATTTTGTTTATGGGCCGTCTGAGAATATACAATACATGCATACTCGTACATATATGTATACTCGTACAGCCCATAAACAAAGGTGAAAAGGAAAATTCCACACCCAAGACGTACCCGAATTACCCGTATTTAACTAACGAATGAAATTAACTCTAAGCTTAAATAAAATCGCAATGGAAATGCATAGCCTAATGTTTTTGTTGGTGTTCCTTACAGCACAGAACGCATCGATCACGTCGATCACCTCGGTGCCGAGCACGACCATCGACAATGGCCGGGAGCTGCGGATCGTTTGCAAGGTGTCCGGCCAGCCACCGCCGAAGGTCACCTGGTTCAAGGATGACAAGTCCATCAATCGCAAGCGCAACGTTTACCAATTCAAGCATCACAAGTAAGCATCCAAATACTACGTCTTCTGATTCTGATTCACTTTCATTTATACGAAACGTTGAATATTTAACAATCTTGCAGAAGACGTTCCGAGCTGATTGTGCGCTCCTTCAATAGTTCCTCCGATGCGGGCAAGTACGAGTGCCGTGCCAAGAACAAAGTCAGCAAGGCGATCATCAAGCGCCGCATCATGATCAATGCCTATCCAGGTGAGTGTTTGAGTGTGGCTGTGACTGTGGCTGTTGCTGTTGCTGTAGCTGTTGTCCCGTGTGGGTGGACTTCCAAGTGGATGTTGCGACACTTTGGTCGGTTGTTCTACAAATTCGGAATGCTCCAATTCATTTCTAATTTATGGGCACATTTGAAGGCGACCAAGACACTTCACACACCCCCAGCAAGACATCAGCAAGACATCAGCATGCACAGCATACATTCCGTGTAAATCATTTTATTAATAATACTAATTCTGTTTCGAATCGTTTCAGTTGCCTCTCGGCCGGACCAGACACGCAGCTCGGGCACCCCCTGTCACTTTCCTGACTTCTGCTTCCACGGCGGCACCTGCATGCTGATCCCGGATCTGAACGAGTTCTATTGCAAGTGAGTACAAGTAAATCTATTCGAGTCTTGTAGTATCTTCGGCTGCAACTCCGCTTGGGGCTGGTTCTTTTCGGTTTGGGTCTCCCATCATCCTATCTGCTGCACTATCTATGTATGTATGTATGTATGTATGTACTATCCTGAGACTTGTCTGTGTGTGATCCCTAACTCAAGTGGTTTTTTGTTTGGGACCCGATAAACACTCGCTCATGTGTCAGCTGATAAAGGCAGCTCTCCCATCCCCATCCCCATCCCCATCCCTATCCCTTTCCCCTTCCCCCTCCTAAACTCCCCTTACTCCCTGTTGTCTATATATATATATATATTGTATCTTGTAATATTTTGGCATCGCATTACAACAGACAAGACGGGAGAGCAATTAAAAGGCAACAAATTTGTTGAGGATCAGGCGCTGGTGCTGGGAAAGAGATCTCCAGACAAAACCCAAAATGCAAACATGGGTGTATGAGTGTGAGTGTGAGTGCGGATGAGTGTCTGCGTGAGTGTGTGCAATGTGAATAATATCTTTCAGCGCCTCGTTTTATCCGTCTGTGTGTGTGTACAAGAAAACCTACTCGGTTCGATTCGGTTCAATCGAATCCCATCCATTCCAGTGGCATTCCAAAAAAGCGCATTTCAGTTGGAATAAAATATATATGTATATATTTTTTTTTGTGGAGTACGAGTGGGGAAAATTAATTTTCATTTCCGAGCCATAAACTGCCAGAGTGCTCTTTACCCTTTTTTAATTTTCTTTTTGCTAAAAATCGTTTTATACACTTAATTTGTTTGTTCTTTTGTTTATATTTAAGTGGTCTGCCGAATGTTGCAACGCAGTTCATGGCCATTTTCCCTTGGTTTTTTTCCCATTCACCATTTACCATTTCCCTCTCCCCCCACCAAATACGTATATGTACATATATGCACACTGAAAGTGCGAAAAGCGAATGTGAAATACAATTTATACTAATATTCATCTCTCAACTTTCTTTTTTGCGTGTCTTTCAGTTGCCCGAACGGATACTTCGGCGAACGTTGCGAGAACAGTAGGCCCGACAGTAGGTACAGCAATAGTAATCCCGAATTTTGCGACAATTATCATGGAGGTTATTACTGCTAAAATAGGCACTTCTATAGCATCGATTGTTTTAGATCGAGTCAAGCGACCAATCGAAACTGAAACAGAAACTGAAACTGAAACTAAACACAAAAAAACAAAAACACAACTCAAATCAAATGAAAAATCAAATCAAACCGAACCGAACTCAGTGCCCATACCAAAATAATTATTAACTAAACATAATCTGCAGTTGTATAGAAGCGAAACCAACGAAATTCTCCCACAGCACTTTTCACCATTATTCCTCATCCATTATCCTTTCAAAAGAAAACCATTTAAGAAAAATAGAAAGTGAAATAAACCAAATATAGTTGATAGAGCGACACTCAAACACCTAAACACTCACACAGAAAGTACAAATATAGTATGCGAAATCGGATCCGAATCATAGAACCATTATACCCGAAACCACACTCCACACCTCCCCCTGCTGCCCACCCTGCTATCAGTCAAACTAAAAGTTTTATTAGAGAACACATTCCAAAAAGCAACAAAGTAAAGTCTTAAAAACGAAACAATAAATAACTAACAAAGTTGTTCATATAATCTTTTTTTTTAACATAAAAAACAAAACAAAACGAAACAACAAAACAAAAAAACGAGATGAAAATCAAATAAATACGAATAAAAACAAAGGGTGCTATAGAAGGTTTATTTTAAATAGTTTTTTAAATAGAAATTTAATATAATTTCAAACTCACTCATCACACACACACCAACAAACACACAATCGATTAAATGTTAAAAACAGCAAAAACAAAACAAAATTATGAAGCAACACTCTGACAGACGGACGGACAAGCGAACAGACGGACGGACAGATGAACGGACAGTAGGAGGATGTCCGCAACGCGAAATACAGAAACTTGTCGAATCTTATTCAATACTCACACAAACACACTCATACAAACAATATAAATATCAAGGATGAATAACAATGAATAACGATGAATAAACAGAGGCTCTCTTAAGTTAGATACACAAACACAAAACACAACACAACACACCACAACAAAACATATACCACATAGAACATTTGCAACAAATGGCAACACACTCACCCACAAAAAGCAATGTACTGAAACAAACAAAATGAATCGCTACGGAAAACGGGAACAGAATTTTGTTTTGTTTTCGATCAAATTTTTTTGTAGTTGGCAAAAGATCCACAAATGAATGAAAACTCTCTCTTCAGCGATGTAACCCTCATGAATAACAAACAATACAACAATATTTAATGATTTGCGATTAATTTTAGTTCTTATGTACTCGTTATTAGAAATCATATTAACACTTTGGCTGTAGATTTTGACAAACCGAAACACCGAATCAAACAAAAACCAAAAAACCAAACAACTTCATTATGCTCCTTGTTAACTTTTATTTGGTGATTGTTTTTTTTATTCATTTGTAATTTTTCTTTTGACTAATCTCTTGCATTTCCGATTGGGTAACTTTGTTTACTATTATTCCTTAGTATGTGCTCGTCTCCTTCAAATAGTTCCACCACACCAGAGAGAACTTGAGCCTCTTTCCAAATACATATGTATGTATATTCCGAATCGGATGCTTTCTCTTCGAAATCTCTCCCTCTGCATGGAATTCTTTCTTTCGAGAGCGCATTTGATGCTTGTAGTTGCCCCCTTTTGTATTTCTTTTTTTTTCCTTTTTGTGGATATGGTTTTAGCCAGATAATAGTTAAACGTAAATCGTAAAACGAAACGTAAAGCAAAGATGGAAGATTAATTTTTAATTTTTATTTATAATTTAATCTCTTCACAGATATTTTGTTGCAATCTACGGCCAAATACAATACATACCTTAAATAACGACTATTAATGCATAGAGTTTTGTTTTATTATTTTTATGATTTTTATAAACGAAAAAAAGATAAACGAAAAAACGAAATACCGAAAAACAACCCCGCAATCCAAGAACGTCGACAATTGTAATTTTTTTTATTTTATAGAAAATTTTGATAATTTGTTGCACCGTCAGATTAAGCCCGAGATCCGAATCCCAATACCATTCACACAATTTGCAACTACAAAAAATTGTAAACACATCAAAATACTCGTACTCGTACTTAGGCACCTTTTAGAACCCTGAGTGTCCCTTCATTTCCACAGTCAAGAGATACAGATCCAGACTGACTTTTTCTATTGATTCTGTTTGAATATATTTTGAATATGAAAAGCTGAAACTAATATTAAATCGGAATCTGAATTTATTATAAAATATTTAATTGCGAAGAAACGATCAAGAATTGATATTTGAAATTGGAGAAGCGGAAAGCGTAAAGCTTAACCGACTTTGACCTTGAACCGACTGTCACTGACACTGTTGCGCTTTTGTTGTTGTATCATAGACATTATAGAAAGAGATCAAAGGTTGACGTAGCCGAGAACTTTGTAATAAATCCTGTAAATATCTCTCGTTTTTAACTAACGTTAAGTTTTGTGTACATTTCAACTAAGTTAATGCCACCAGCCCTTCTTTAACCATAATTTATTATTGTATTTAATTACACTTAAATTATAAAATTTGTATCTGTAAGCTCACACACATTACACCCTTACACACACCCACACACACACACACACACTTTAAAGCTACTTAATTTCGAAATACTATTTTATTTGTCCTCGTTTCTGATTTTGCATAAAATTTGAACACTGAAATGGAAAAACACGTACGATGTATAATTGCAAATTTAGTTAAGATTTTTTTTTCTCAATGTGTATGTTGACATCAGTTTTTTTGGCTAGGCGTAAACGAGATTATTTTTAATTTTATTCGTAAGTGGAAAATTTTTTTATATTTAATTATTGAAAGATTTATACCAAAAATACCATGTAAAGTTTAATTTTAATTTAAAAGAAAATATTAAACAAACAACAAACAGAAAAACCAACAAAAAAAAAACAAACAAAACAAAAACAAACAAAACAATGCGTAAGAAAAAAATTTCATTAAAAATTTGCAAATAATTCACATTTACAAAATGGATTGCTTTTTGATTTGGTTTTGATTTCCCTTTCTTCTTCATCTGCCTGCGGCTTATTCTCTTTGTTTTTTATCCACTTGATTTATAGGAAAATACAATATTATTTTGCTCTTGGTTATTTTATTTCCTCCCATCCGCTTTTCCGGTTCATGTACCCCAACAACTGAAAATGGGCAGCAACCAAAGCTCTGTCGAACCGAGCCCGGTTTTGGATTACAAATTTTTATTGGGCTAATTTTTCCTTGTCTAAAACATTGTTTTCGTTTGGTCTCTCGACAGGCGACAACTTCAACACTCGATGGACATGAGGAGTCTAGCCGGAAAATAAGCAATTTGCACAATTTGCGTATATAAATGGATCTCATGCTTAGTTTTAGTTTACAAGAAAACGGCTAATAAAATTTTGAATTGGTTGCAACACATGTTTTTGGTGTTCTTAATTATTACATGAATCAGATACGTTCGCTGTTAATTTCAAAATTAAATGGCGAACTAGTTCCACAAATGCTCCGATTTCATATACTTCGTTCCGATAACACGTGCGAACTAATCACACCAAAATATTCATTGATATGTAGTCTATCGCACAAAAGTATCGATACCCTGTTCTAATCCTAGTCCTAGGCCTAGTCCTCAGATTAGCCAAATTTTCCATCGACCGAATCCGGAATAATATTCTTATGGCAACTATGCCTGCATTTCAATCGATGGAACATATTTCAGCAGTCGTTTTGCCGATGAGAACTCAGATCAGCAAAATGGATAGTCGATTAATACTGGAATGTCAACGATACATACTGGAAAAGCAAAGATGGTATATCAAGTCAGACCGCATATTTTGGTATCTTTCTGAGGATAAATGAAGTCTCGCGGCATTTTTTAATTTCATTTTTCTTAAAAAGATAAGTTTGATTGTTTTGAAGATGTCGTCTGCCCAAGCAACCAAAAACTGCATTACATTGAAGGGATCCGCACAGATAATCGTGGAGTATTTAAGTAAGTATAGAGAACACAACACCAACAAAAAGAGCAGCAGCAACAGCCCGCGCTTTATGGCGTCTCCTTTATATATTACCGAATAGAGTATGGAATCCATTCAATTCTGTTCCAACGCGGCATTTACCCGGCGGAAAACTTCGACAGCACCCAACAATATGGCTTGACCATTCTAATGTCCAAGGACCCAAAGATTACAACGTTCCTCCAGAACGTCCTCAGCCAGACCGAAGGTGAGCGGAGCCCTAAAGCCTTGGAAGTGCATGCTAATTTCGGTGTGCTGGCTCTCCATTTCAGAGTGGCTCTCCAAGAACATGATCAACAAAATATCAATGGTTATCACGAATGCTCATAGTAAGGAAGTTCTGGAGTGTTGGGATTTCAAAATGCAGGCCGAGAACGGGGATAACCAGGCCGCCGATCCCTCACAAAGAACGTCCAGCAAGGATCAGACCCGCATTCAGAACGAGATTCGCGACGTGATGCGCCAGATTTCGGCCACAGTCAGCTACTTGCCGCTGCTGGACTGCATCTGCACCTTCGATGTCATGATCCACACGCTGGACAACACCGAGCTTCCCGCCAAATGGGACGAGACGGGAGCCATTGTCATCCAGAATGCCCAGGCAGTTCAGCTGCGCTCCTTCTCGACGGGCCTCCATAAGGTGGAGACCGTAGTGAACTACAAGATGAGCACCTAGCTCCGTCACTGTTTTATATATTTATTTATGCTCCCGCTATATATTTACACAGTTAAGTTAACTGATTTACGGTTTTGAGAGTTGCATTAAAAGCCAGTTGTGAAAGAAGTTTGGGTAATTTGCTCGCTGTCGCCGACGCAGCTGTCGATTCAAATGCCATCTAAAACACAGACAGAAAGAGGGAGGTGTTACTACGGAGACAGTTTGGTGTATGAGAGGAAGAGTTAGTCTAGGCAGGATCGGATCTGGGCTGTATCTAGGTGAGTGGGTGTGGTACAGGGAGTAGCGAACTCACACTACCTATCCTAAGCAGCGCTTAGTTGTCAAGTCTGTTGTGGTTGCTCGCTTGCGCGTCGCTCTGATGTGACTTCTCCTCTGACCTATCATCTAGTCTGTACCAAAGTATTTCTGTCCGAAGTGATTGGGCGCCACGGGATGCAGCTCTGAGGTGAGGATCTTCAGCTGGGGGAACGCATTGACCACAGTGCGGGCGGCCACAGGTGTGCAGAACAGATTCGACAGTATGATGCACTTTTCGGGTACTCCATGCTCGCGCAGAACGTTCACAGCCTGGAGCACAGTGTTGCCGGTGGACATAATCGGATACATCAGTAGGACCTGCCTACTGCCAATGTCATCGGGAAACCGGGCATAGACCACCCTGGCCTCGTGTGTATTCGCATCCGATTCGACCAGGATCTTGCCTATCCTTATCGACCGACAGCAATCCCGCAGGCCCTGCTCCATGGCCTCGCCAGACCGAATTATGGAGACGCCGCAGTTGCCGGATCGATATTTGAGTCCCTCGTAAATGGCACCTGTGGGAGTCTCCACGTCGCAGTCCGTGTAGGGAAGCTGGTTGAGGGACTCTTCAATCACCAACCGAATCAGCCGGTCGGCATAGAACTTGAAATCGCTGCGGGTGGTGTTCCTTCAAGAAAAGAATAAGATAACAATGTTTCGCGCCAACTTCCACCGCCACCTACTTGTCTCGGATGATGGTGAGCAGCTCGGACACTTGGGAGTTGCACTCCAGTAGCTTTAGATTGCTGCCGTACTCGGCCAGGATCTCCTCTGCCTTGGCAGCCGCCACAATTGCATGCGTGGGCGTTCTAATAGGCTGTTCCGTTGCCTCTTGCTCCGGCTGTTGCTGCTGCTCGGTAGTGGCATTGGCCTCCTCCGACTGGGAGTCATTGCTGCTGGGCGACCCAGTGCACATAATTTGCTTTGCTAATTAAAATAAGTTGGTTACAACTAACTAAAATTTGTATAGTCTTCTTTGTTGTTCAAGCGCGTGCCCGTGACCAAATAGCAAGTATTCAGTGGCCGCGATTGATGCGATATTTGAGTCGTGTCGGTACGGTGACATCGATATATATTTAAACCATTATCGAAATCCCGCGTCTAATTTTAATGTTTATTTAATATGTTGAAAATAACTAAAAAATATGCCAGCGAGACAGACACCATGTCGACTAGGGCTAAAAGGCGCAACCTGGAGCTACCCAAAAGGCGAGCGACTGTGGGCAGAGTGCTGGTATGTGGCATGGGCTACACCGGGCAGCTGGGCCTGGGCTCGCTAGTCTTGCAGCTGAACCGCTTATCACTAGTGAACAGAATACCGAATCCTGTGGATATTTGCGCTGGTGGCATGCATAGCCTGGTGCTGACGCAGAGTGGCGATATCTACTCCTTTGGCTGCAACGACGAGGGCGCCTTGGGGCGGGATACCAGTGCGGACGGCAGCGAGTCGTTGCCCGCTTTGGTTGATTTGCCGGGCAAAGCGCTGTGCATTTCAGCGGGAGATTCGCACTCGGCTTGCCTACTGGAAGACGGCAGCGTCTATGCGTGGGGATCGTTCTTCCACTCGCATGGTAGCATGGGCCTAAACAATGATGACAACACGAGCACACCAACTAATCTCTTGCCGGGAACTGTCTGCTGCAGCATTGCCTCGGGCTCCGATCACTTGGTTATATTGACCACCAGCGGAAAGGTCTATACACTGGGATGTGCCGAGTACGGTCAGCTCGGACGCATTTCAGAGCGTTCATTGCCCGGAGATGGTTAGTTTTTGCCCAAATAAAATCTTTTCAAATATATAACCTATTTTGTTCATTTACCAGGTCGCCGAGGCAAGCAGGATTTGCTTCGGCCGGACCAGATATTTATCAAACACGCCAAGCCGTTCGAGGCTATATGGGCAACTGATCATGGTACGTTCATACGCGAACGCACATCGCAGACGGGAACTATCTGGGCCGTGGGTTTGAACGATAGCAATCAGCTAGCCCACGAAACAGTGTCGGAGCCGGACCACTATAATTATCCGGTGCCGACTAAACTGAAAAATATAAAGCAGATTGCTGGTGGATCTGAGCACACACTGCTGCTACTGAATAATCGGAAATGCTTTGCCGTTGGTTCGCCAGAGCATGGATGCTTGGGCCTGGGCGATGTCAAGGACGTGGTGCCCATATTGACGCGCGTTAAGAAGCTGTCCGACAACATTGTCTATGTGGGCTGTGGAAAGTTCTGTTCCTATGCCATTGATGATTACGGCAAGCTATATTCCTGGGGCATGGGCTCCAATAACCAGCTGGGCGTCAACGATGGCGATGATGAACTGGAGCCAGTTCTAGTCAGCAGCAAGTATATGCAAAACAAGAAGACACTGCTCGCATCCGGCGGAGAAAAGCACAGTCTGTTTTTGGTCGAGGCCGATCCGAGGGACTAAACTAATATTTACCACCAGCAAAGGGTGGAACTAGGACTCATATTTCAACCGAAGATACTTTAAGCAAAGACTGAAGTCTGCTAAGCAGGAACCCAAACCTAAACATATCTACTTAAAAACCTGACTAAAACATAGAAATAGATACAATTTGACAGCACACCAATATGTTGTTTGCTTGACTAAAAGTTGGCCTGATTTCCAGATTTGATTGAATCACAATCAATTTCATGAGTCCCCACAATAAGCAGAGTGGCGTCCATCGATATAGGGAAAATATATCCATCGATAGTGAGCCACAAGCGATAAGCGTCTACGCATCGATAGTGCTATCGATATACCCTATACCTCGTGTTCGCTCGCAAACAAAGAAAAAGTGCATTTTAATTGCTGATTATTAAACATTGCGACCAGAGGCAGTTGCAAATAATTACGTATTTGATAAATTGCAAGGCAGATTGCAAAGGCGCGCGTTGGAAGTTCTCGCAGTGTGTGCGTTTGTGGCACAAGTGCGTGGTGCGTGCGTCGGTGTTAGTGAGCGTGTGCGTCTGTGTGTATATATTTGTATTTGTATTGCTATTAACTAATAAACAATAACCTTCGGGGCCACGAAAACTGCCCCTCCGCTTGTTCCAACAAACCGAAACTAAAATAAAATCGTGCAGCACCGTCTGCCAGTTAGGGCTCTTTCCGTATTCCGTACACCCAAAGAACCCGAAACCGTAGCAGCAGCAGCAGCAACAGCAACAAATTATCCAAGCAAAAGCCACAAAGGCAGAGCCAAATTATTGTGTGACGAAGCATTAAGTTAAGCGACACCACGGCAGCGGCCACCAACAGCACACAAATGGCGGACGTGAGCGATCCCAGTGAGCTGTTCGACCTGGAGCTCCACGAGGACGACAAGGCGCACGACTCCGACGACGACAGGATCGAGCTGGACGATGTAAGGGCGAATCGCAGAAAATTATCAAACTACGCAGAAAAAATTTCACCAGCAGCCGCCATTCAGGCAATTTCCTTACACCATTGTATGGGGGAGGAATTTTCCTCTTTGTTTACCTTTTCGCTTTGTCTCTGAAAACGCCTCTGTCTGTGCCTCATCTCTGTCTCCACTTCCAATTTCCACCACAAAGCGGTGCCAGTTGCCAGTACCATCATCATTTTGAGGAATTTGGCTTATCTGCTGCGCAAAAATCCACATCACTTTGCATGTGGCGTCATCATTGCTTCCAGCGCCAGAAGAAGTAGCAGTAGCAAGATTATTCAGCATGTATTATAATGCACATTCATTATATACGAACATTCCCCCAGGCCAGACACCCGTGTCACGCCTTGCCGCCATGCCATGCCGCCATCCAATCCAACCCAATCCAATCCAAACCCATTCCCTCCTTATGAAACAGCATTATGATCGTGGTATTGAGCAATCGAAGCAAGCCCCCGCCCATACTAAAGCCAATGTCCTTCAAAATAATCAGTTCTAATTACCCCGCCGCAACTTGAGAAGTTCCCTCTCTTTTTCAATCTTTAAACAGCACAGGAATACTGTCAGTGAGAAAAATAGAGCCACAGAGAGCGAGGCAGACACAGAGAGGGGCTAACTTCCACTTAGACAACGAAATTCCTTATCAGCGGGTAATATAAAATTAGAAAATGAGAAAAACCGTAGCTTGCCGATAAGGTGTAATCGAAAAGTGAGCAAGAAACGCCGAACGATGATGGGGCTGGCGCGTGCAGTAAACTATGAGGGAGGTACAGAAGTGCATTCAGAGCAATGCCTTACCTTTGTACGTTTGTAGCTTTGTAGATCCCCCGCCCTACCATATCACTTCTGATTCTTATCATACTCCCTCCTTCCTGTACGATGTGCTGTCAAAAGTAATTTACGCAAGCGCACACACACCACACTCTACTCCAAAAGGGGCAGGCTTCTCGGCCCCTGCCACAGATATCGTCCATCTATCGAATTTGTGTGAACACTATAAATTATGACGGATTCGTTAATTGGAATTCACCGTCAGCGCTGACGAGGTGAACCAGTTTTTAATGTGTTGCTGCATGCTGGCTGGCTGACTGGCAGGCGACGCCTCCCCTACCCTACCATTCAATTGAACTTTAGTCAAAAATATTATACATATTCTACACACATTTTAAGCATGACGAGAGCCAGGCAATGCCTCTTTCCCCTGCTCCTGCTTCTCCTTCTCCTTCTGCTATTGGCTTTCCTCGTGCTGCCCTCCCCAGCGCCAGTCCGCCCCTAACTGTGGCCTTCCCCAGTTGGAGCAGCAACAGCAGCCGCCGTCACAGCAGCAGAAGCAGCAGCAGCAGCATTGCCGGCAGATTATTTGGCATTGTTCCGAGTTCTAAATTTAGTTTGTCATTAAAGAAAAAGGTGTATGCGTGTAGAAAGTGTATCTATGTGTGGCTCTCTTTCCCCCTTGAGCATGTCTGCTTGTGTGTGTAGGCAGATCAGAAAGAGGGAGAAATCTGTTGGGTTCATAGTCACAGACTCCAGAGAGAGCCTCTGCCTGGGGCCCCAGGCAACCGATCTCTTCAGCCAACGGAATCGCCCTTTGTTTTTGTTTAAATATAAACTTGTGGCGCTTGGGGTTGCATCGAATAGTCAGGCGGGTTGTACAATTTATAGATTCGACTCTAAAAAAAGCTAAAATCTCCACAACACTGAATACATTGGCTCCCCCAAATAGTAATTATCCAATCGAGATCACGTTACACCCCTAAAATTAATTAACAAGTAATTAAAATCGAAAAAACCCCCACAAGCTTAATAGATAATAAATCGCGAGTAAAGTAAGTTCTGTTCCGGTTGTGGTTGTGGTTCCCCAAAACGAAACATGAGACCCATCCATCGATCGAGAGTATCTCAGCTTGGTTTAGGATGATGCACAGCTTTCCCTTCTGCGTTTGGGTTTCGGGTTCGAGTTCGAGTTGGAGTTGGAGTTAGTAATAACTATGATTAATTGTTGCTCCCTCCTACGAGTATGCTCTCTCATATGTCGTCATCTCACGCTTCTCTCTCTCTCTCTCTCTCATCTCATTTGCAGGTTGATCTAGAACCGGAATTGTGTATTAATCTTCACCAAGAGTGAGTAATGCCAAAGCTATGTCGCTGCTACAGAGGAGGACGTGACTGTCTGAGAGGGGGCTGGGCTCCTCTCCGCCGTTTCTCTGGATGAGACATCTGGACAAACGTAGATAAGGTGGCAGGAGGACAAATGAGCAGCCTAATTGGCAATTATCAGTTTGGGACTTGTTTACAAGCACTGGACTGGCTAACATCTGATTGATTCCGCTTAGAGCCTGATCCCCGTCCAGACGGTCGCTGTGTGACTCCCAGATAGCGATAACGAGTCGCGATATACACACAGTCCTGCCACAGCGATGCCCTGACCCAGGCCCAGAAGTGTTTACAACTGCTATTGACTATTGACTGGCACTGGGACGCCGACGCCCGCCTCTTCAATCGTTGGAGGGGCAACGTGCAAACAAGACACACGGCAAAACACTCGATAGTATTGGAAGGGTGGGGCGCCTAATAGGGAGGGGGGGATAAGTGGAGGTGACGATTGGCGCGTGCAGCCCGATGGGATTTATTTATAGCACGTGGGCTGCTCCTTTCCCACGCTAACCGACGCGACAGACGCGACGACAAGCGACGCAAGCAGCACACACTGAGTTAGAGCAGAGTACAGCAGACAATTAACCAGTGAATCCCTCCCTTTTCTCTCTCGCCCAAACAGCACCGAGGGTCAGGAGACCATACAGCTATCCGAGGAGAATGTCAATCCGGGCAAAATCAAACTGGGACCCAAGGACTTTGAGCTCAAGAAAGTCCTTGGCAAAGGTGGCTACGGCAAAGTATTTCAGGTGAGTTATTCCCTATTATAGCAATATGTTCTTCAAATAACGATTCTCTTTAATTTTGTAGGTGCGCAAGACCGCTGGACGAGATGCCAACAAATACTTTGCCATGAAGGTGCTCAAGAAGGCATCGATAGTGACGAACCAGAAGGACACAGCGCACACACGCGCCGAGCGCAACATTCTGGAGGCCGTCAAGGTGGGAGTCCCAGTCCCCCAGTCCCCATAATCAATGCAATACCATCGTATCCTACATCTATCTGCTCTTTATAGCACCCCTTCATAGTGGAGCTGGTCTATGCCTTTCAAACAGATGGAAAACTTTATCTTATACTTGAATATCTGAGCGGCGGCGAGCTGTTCATGCATTTGGAGCGCGAGGGCATCTTTCTGGAGGATACCACATGGTAGATATCCATCAGTAGATCCGTAGAAGGAGACTCATATCATATAATACTCATAATCGTATTGCATTGCAGCTTCTATCTGAGCGAAATCATATTGGCACTGGGCCATCTACACAAACTGGGAATCATCTATCGCGATCTGAAGCCCGAGAACATATTGCTGGACGCACAGGGCCATGTGAAGCTGACAGATTTCGGCCTGTGCAAGGAGCACATACAAGAGGGTATTGTCACCCACACCTTCTGCGGCACAATTGAGTACATGTGCGTGCGCCCGCCAAGCCTTTTCTTCATCTAGCGCCGTGTCGTATTCAAAACGAGATTAATCTGTTTCCCCATTGACTTGCAGGGCACCTGAAATCCTAACCAGAAGTGGCCATGGCAAAGCCGTCGATTGGTGGTCCCTGGGCGCCCTCATGTTCGACATGCTCACAGGAGTGGTAAGTGCAACACGTGCCATCGATTTTGCCGTTGCCTTGGCCTCTTTGATGTAACAATCTGTAACACTGTGGCACTGTTCTTCTAGCCGCCCTTTACCGCCGAGAACCGCAAGAAGACCATCGAGACCATTCTGAAAGCCAAGCTCAATCTGCCAGCCTACCTCACACCCGAAGCCAGAGATCTGGTGCGTCGCCTCATGAAGCGCCAGGAGCCACAGCGCCTTGGAAGCGGGCCCGAAGATGCGGCGGCAGTCCAAATACATCCATTCTTCAAGCACGTCAACTGGGACGATGTCCTGGCCAGGCGTCTAGAACCGCCCATAAAACCACTCCTGGTATGTTGAAGTACCTCGTGGATCGGTTGACGGTTATCTTCTGATATTCAATTGCTAATTTTTGCTCCCTCTTGCGTGATCCAAACAGCGAAGCGAGGATGATGTCTCACAGTTTGACACGAGATTCACAAGACAAATTCCAGTGGATTCACCGGATGATACAACGCTGAGCGAAAGTGCCAATTTAATTTTCCAAGTAAGTAGATTGAGATTTGAGATCAGAGGATCGTGTAGCTTCCAGTGGTAGATAGGGAGTGATGGGATGGCCTTTTATGCCTTAAATAATGATCAAAATCAATCAACAAGTGATTGATATCTAGTAGAGGTTGCAAATGATTCAAGCTTTCCCTCTAATTTGAATTTCCATTAATATTATTTTACGTTCTGCTTCATTTTTAATCATCTAGGGGATCGATTTTTGGGTGGTTTTTCAGAATAAATACTTCACTATACACTAAAGATTAGATTAATTCTAAAAAGAGGAGGGACCGAGTTCTCTCCTCAGTGATAGTCGGCACCGCATTGAAAGTGGGGTTCCTTCAGGGGTATGCCCGTTGGTCCGTCCGTGAATTCGCAGAAGTTGAGGCCGATGCGTCGAAAGGGATGACACTTGCTCTTGGGATTTCCCCATTTCCCACGATACGTAAGCCAATCAGGAACAAGGGAACGCCCTAAGAAAGCAGAGCAACAATCAATACTGGTTCCAAATAGAGAATATCCAAATGAATCCACTTACCATATGATCTTATGTTCTCGTAGCTTATGTCCACAGACTTCCACGTGTTCCAGGGCGTGCCGAACCCATTGATATCATAGAGGCGAGCCACTTTGACGAATCTATGCTTACCGGGGGCCGTCCAGAGACCATGCGAACCCTTCGCTGCGAACAGAACCGGATGGTTCTTGAATGTGGTGACAGTTTTGGGAAAATTTGGACGCTGCAGGATGCCCTTGCGCGTCTCCTGGCGTCGGAACTCGAAGGAGCCCGTTAGCCGGTTGTAGCTGTAGAAGGCACCCGCATCGTGCGCGGATACGTACATGGCCTGGGGCTCGGCATCCCCGTTAAAGTAGAGGCTCATGTGTTCCCAGTCGCCCACGTGGCTGCCGATATCCTTGCGATGCCCCAGGCAATAGCCGTAGACAGCTGGGAAGGGGATCCGACCGAGGGGACCCAGACTCACAGTGCACATGGTCTTTCCCTGGCTGTAGGGATAGAACATCCAGTAGGTGACGTGGAATCCTGGCAGCTTGCCCTGTCCCGCATTCACCTCGTGCTCGGGCGACGTCCCGATGCTGTTCTCCTCCTCCAGGTTATCCTCCGGACCGGCTCCGCCACTGAACTTGACATTATCCGCCAGATTGGCGATGAAATTGTTTACGGGAATGCTGTTATCAGGTTCAGGCTCCAACTCCATCTGTGGCTGTGGCTGAGGATCGGTTTGAGATGGCTCCACCATCACCAATTCCTCGTACTCATTGAGGTCGTGTTCTGCATCTCTCTTAACCCGCTGGAAGAGGGGGAACAAGCGCGAGGATCGCCTCACGGTCTCGTTGCGTTCCTCGAGGGGATCAATGGAGACAGGAATGTAGGGGCCTCGTGTGCTGGCCAGTGGAGGCGTGGAAATGGAAGCCATCACTGGCTCCCGCCTACCCGGACACATGGTTACCACGCCATAGATGGGGACTGGCTTCTCATTGGGATTCCTACCATAGATAAACGACTGCTCATTCCCCAGCAGATCGTGCATCTCGTCGTTCGTCACCAGATGTGACTTGGTCGAGTACTCACTGAAGGGGACCCCGGGCCGAAAGCTACTGTCCTTGTCCATGGGATGGACGTGCTGCAGGAACTCCTCCACGCCCAGCGGCATGAATTTCTCCTCCGGCGCCAGCCACACAATCGGCGCCCATTGCTTGATCAGGCGTTCAACTGCAATAAGATGGAAGATGGAAGCAGAGATTGCCTCAGTTAACTTGCTTTTAGTTAACCCAGCACCGGTGCTGGGGCAGGCATCATGAAATTACCCAACCCATACGGCCATTGGCCTTCTCCACTCCACTCCACCTCACCCTCCTACTGCCTACTTTTCTCCTACTACCTTCCTTCCTTCCTCTCTCTCTCTCTCTGTGTCGGCCAACTCTTTGGCTCTGGCTTTGGCTTCGGCTTTGTGCCTCTGGTCTAGCTCTGATTTTCGTTTTCAAATTCAAGTGTAATAAATTTCACTTTCACACATGAAGTGCGGCCATAAAGTCGTCTTGCCTGCCTGCGAGGTGCTAGCCCCCTGACTTCCCTCTACCAACTGGCACTGGCTCTAGCACTGGCACTCCTCCTTGCCCTTGCTGCCACCCAGAAACTAAGTCAACGCGCTCGTTTTTTTCTGTTACGGCTAATTCGCGAAATTAAACGCTGCTCGAACGCCACCGACTACCGCTGTTCCATACGCACATAAGGCCCATCGGATGGCAATGAGCGGGGCGCCAAACGATGGAGTCGCGTTCAGGTAAATCGTGTCGGAAATTTCACTTGAACATACAAACCGAAAAAATGTTAGGGAAAATGGAATAAAATCTAGTAAAAACCGAATTTGTTATGCCCTAAAAAAAACATACATAAATAGTTCCATCATATGTATAGCAGAACTATGTATATTACGCATAATTTTGGATCAATTTATTTGGTTTTTGTATTGTATTTACTCTGATAAATCAGAAATCGTTAGTCTTTTCACAATCGGAGATACTTTGACCGATATAACCTTAGGAAGATAATTCTAAGATCTCATTGGATCTAATTTGAAATCTTCTTTGTTGACAAATGGTCATAAGCACCTTATCGTTAGGGTTTATTTAAGTTTGCAATTTACTCTGCTGGTTCAGGGCACATATAAATATTCTTCCAAATACCTTCCCCCAGTCCGCTTATACCCCTTCCAGAGTGAGAGTGGGGTATGCAATAGGAGTAAAATCCAAAATCCGTTGTTGGTTTATGCTACTCCAATGTTTTTGTTGTTTGTGATGCATACCTACTTCTTTATCTAATGCCGTTATATGTGGAAACTGCAATGTTGCTTGTTTTTGTGGCTGCTGCTGTTCGAAGGAGTCGCCAGCTGGCGCATCGGTTGCATTCAAAAGATCTGGAACTAGCACTGGCACTGGCGCTGATGCTGGAGTGCCGCCTGCCACAATTGGCGCCGACGTCATTTGCTGCTGCTGCTGCGGCTGCAGCTGCAGCGGCACTAGTTGTCGCTGTTTTTGGTTTTGCGGCAGCGATGCCGCCACACAGAGCAACGCCGCCAGGCAATGCACCAACGAAAGCGAATTTATATTCAACAACTTGGACATTTTTATAATTTTGCCTGCCTTGCGCTGCGATTTTTGTTATACTTTTGTTTATTTTATTTTATTGAGAGTCACGAACAATGCGCTGGCTTTGTTGTTGCTTTTTATATTATTATTATTAATTTCACACAGTTCGTAAGTTTGCCAATTTTCAACATAGATTTCTTACACATTTTCTGTTTATTGTGGGTTAGTTAGCGCATTTATGTCTTTTATTTGGTGTCGAAGTTGCGCAATCTCACTTGACAGACACTGTTGACACTTCCGCCGCATGCGGCGCACAGTTTTAGTAGCCTCGGACAGTTTCAGCAGCACTGCGAACATCAGCTGAGGGCACTGCTTCGTTCTTGTCCCAATTTTCGGTTCCAAAGCTGACTGCACACCACTCTCTCACTCTCTTTGTGGCCTCATGCACGTGCACGCATGCGCTGTTTGAGTTTCTCCCTGCTCTGTGCTCTCCACTCTCCTCTCTCCAGACTTCTCTCGCAGCTGGTTTTTTGTGTGCCCTTCAACAGGTTTAAACTTGAATCTTGTCTTTTTCCCTTACATCGTATATCGTATCGCATTGGTAATCAGCCCGATAGCCCTGAACTGCAGATGAGGCTGCACATTGGCCCAGAATCAATGTCAACGCATTTGGGGCCCAGTGAAATGAAGCAAAATCCATGCAAAACCAGCCCATGAGCTCAGCTCAGGCCAGGCCAGGCCTTTCTCCAGCAACAGTTACGGCTATAGCTCAGGTTTTCTACCACCACGAGGCACGAAAGTTACTCCAAGTCGCCTGTCTGTATTTCTCTCTCTTTCTTTCTGTCTGTCTGTATTTCTTTCGCTTTTGGTGGCTACTGCTTTAAGCTTGGGTGTCCGAACGCTTTGAGCGTTTCTGCGAGACTGGCACAAGCGTTGGCCGAGAAGCAGGAGAGTTGAGTCGAATCGAGTCGAGTCAGTTTTGACTCCGCTCTGCTTACTTTGCGCGCCTGCATTGCATGCCAAGCCAATTGCTTGCCCCTGCCTATACCCAGCCCCCTGTAGAGCAGCACAACTTGCTTTTGTTTTATTTTGTTTACAAACATCATATGCGAGAGTATGCTCGTAGAGGAGTACGAATCGTACAGCCGTATGCCGTATAGCCCAAAAGTCGAACGACCCTTGAGCTGCTTTCGTTCGGCCTTTTTGGGGGCTTCGTTTGTAAGCTGTGTAAAGTTTGTTTTGGTTATGGGCTTATGAGATTAGTAGGCTAAATATGAAGTTAAATATTGCTCAATTATTGCCATTAGAGAGACGAAAGTGTTTGGAATATGGCTAAAAGCTGGATGAGAATTGTGGTCTTTAATAGTTTAATGATAAATGGAATTCTATGAGCAAGCAGTACACAAGCAGTGTATCTTTATCTTACAGTTTGATGTCTACTAGTCTTTCCGATTTTCATTCGCATTCATCTAACAATTTTTTTTAATTGCTTAGAAATGTTAAATGGATCCAAATCATTCTTAGATCAGTTAAACAGCTTCTAAAACTGTATTCAATTTGCACCTCATCAACAGCAGATCTGGGATTGGATTCAATTAGAACTTTATTACGGATAATTATTAGTGTAAACTTTCTCAATGCCTCGCGCACCGCACCTCGAATTATGCTTCTTTAGTGGGTCACCGTCACCCCGCGCGATCGCGGCTCCAATTAGCGGCCCCGCTCTCTCACGTACATTTCACCTGCCGGCGGCGATTGCCACCGAACCACCGCAATAACAGTAGCTTCCGCCCCTTCTCAACCCGTGCCCCCAGCAGCCACCTGCAACCTCTCTCACGGCTCTAACTTTGGCGTCACGCATTTTGTGTCCAGCCTCCGTGCCAGGGGAATTCACACAAAGCAGCCGGCGGTACTGGCGGTGTTTTGATTTTGGTTTGCTTTTAATTATTTTATTGCATTTGTCGCGGCTGCTGCTGATATTGCTGGATTTCGTCAAAACATATATTTAATTAATGTGTCTCTCTCTGGCATTTTGGCTGGAAAAATTATGTAAAGTGTATTACATGGAGAGACGGCAGCAGCAGCCGCAGCACAGCTCAGCAGTTGTCCGACCGCCTTGCATAATCCCTGCTGCCCAGGCGGGCGGGCGGTTGTGATTAGTATGCAACACAGGAGAGACCGGCCCCGGGTCGGATCGGATCGGTTCGGGTTTTGGGTCTGGCTCTGGCTCTGGGCAATGAGTAATGCATGATCCGATTCGAATTGCGCACATGACGGGACAAGTGGGTCAGGTAGGAGTTGGATGGTGATGGGGCGTCGGGCGGAATGGGGCGAATGGGAAGAATGGCAAACTAATAACAGTTTTGATCGTTTTCTTTGCAGGGTTTCACCTACGTAGCGCCCTCGATACTGGAGGACATGCATCGGGCAAATCGCATGCCGGCGCGCTCCCCTCGACGCACACCCCGACAGCATCCGGACAGCAGCTTCCGCTTGCAGTTTCCGTCCGCCAGTGGGATGGTGGGACCCAACGCCCACGGCCCCATGGCCATGCAGCGCTCCACGATGTTCGCTCGGGCCACGCCGCCCCACCACATGCAGCCGTTCGCACCGCGCCCATCACCGGCACAGGACGAGATGATGGATGTGCAGCAGGGATTGCCGATGGTCTAGGTGGAGGTGGAGCAGGCGCCCAGCAGAACATCCCATCCCACCACAACTTCCCCCCTTCCCATCAGAAATTGACAGTTAGTACTATGACGTATATGGAAAGTGGATTTGGATTCGGATTCGGATGCGGATTCGGAGTAAGCAGGAGGACGAGCAGAAGGAGCAGTACGAGCAAGAGCACACAGCATGGGTGTGCGTGGGGTGTTGTTTTTGTTAAAGAGAGCGCGCAAGGATCGCGCTGTGATTAGGATGATGATAAGGAAGGACAATGAGGCAAGGAGAGCGTTCTTTTTGGATACTAACTACATTTAGGTACTACTACTAAAGTCGGCGAGCTACACGCAGACACATGCTATAGCTATTCTATATACACACCTAGAGAGATAGAGAGCGTTCGCAAGCAGCCGAAACTTATCCGTGTTTATGTATAAATATCATACTACACTTATATTTTACATAGGAAAAAATGGTCTATACAATTTAGTTCAAATGTACACGCAACACTTTCATTTTATTTTACCCATATTTAACCTTAACCCGCTACAACAGACAACAGACAACGTTAAGCTAAGGAAGTTCTGTATTCGAGATGTAGCTCTTAATGTAAAATATATTACATAAAAACGTGTCGTGTTTGGGCGACGTTCCCTCAACGTAAACCTCAACCACAAACTCCCAAACCCAGTTGCAACCCAGGGCCGGGCCTATCCTAATATATCATTTAGTTTCCCCGATAAGCAACAGATGTAATTACGAAAGCCTCCAATCGCTACTCATGATTGATTGTTGTCCAGGAGCAGTCCTTGTTTTTGTCAGTTACGAACATACAATATATATTCGGTAGGCATAGGCATGTAGGGACGATAGGCGACGTTAGTTTTTGGGACAGCCACAGCAACCGCAACTTCGACTGCAACGTAGCAGGCAACACAAATTCAAATGAAAATGAAATGTAAATTATAAAGTAAACTAGAATATTAAAGAATAAACCATAGAAACCATTAATGTACGTATGAAAAGGTTTCCACAGCACCATGAAAAGTGTCCCCCGACTTTGGGAATAACTTTCTCGCATAGCCAATTTATATTTATATTTGGAGCTCTACTCTTTTGTTGCATCCCGCCAGGAATTGAATTGGTTCCATATCTGAATATGTTCAACATTCAATATAAACTAAACTAAAATGAAACAAAAACCGAAACAAAAGCCTAAACTGAAATGAATAACGCGTACTGAGAAGCTAAACGCTGCCACCACAATAAATGTAGATCCAGAGAGGAGATCTAAGAACAATAGATTATACGAATTATGTACTTTGATTATATTCTGTTTTCAGTTGTGTTTCCCCCCTTTATTTTCCATCTGAACCATCGTTTATGTTTTCTTTTCTTTGCATGAAAATGAAGAGAGTAAAAATGAAATATATACTATAAAGAAAAAGATAACGAAAATTACGATGTCAAATATAATCAAAAGGTGCTTTGAATTGTTTAAAAAGACAAGACAACTACAAAATAAAATAAAATTAAACAAAACGAAAAAAAAAAAAAAAAAAAACAGAAATAAACCCAAAAGAAAAAAAAAGGAAACGAAAAACTATTGAAAACGAAAGCAACTAAAACCTAAAACATTACTTATAATGGTTATGAAAGAATATTTATATAAACTAAAAGTAAATACCTCAGAAGCAATTATTTTTGTTACAAGCAGCTGATAAAAAGGGAGCAGGGAGTGCAGAGTGCAGAGTGCGGGGTGCAAAGTGCGAAGTGAAGCGAAGCGAATAAAGAACTTAACAAATGATGAAAACTACCAACTAAAGTACAGAAAATGAAAACTATTAAAAGATAATAATAAGTAATCAGAAAGGAGAGAGATGGAGAGAGAGGAAAGCAGAGATATTTGTATGAAGATACATTAATAATGCAAATCAAGTACGAGTATATATAAATACATATATTTTATTCATTGTACAACTTATTTACTTGTGTGTTTTGGTTTTGTTTACTGCTAAATGTACTACATATTTTGTATTTCATTAAACAATTTTTTTTTTTCTATATACATAGGTATGTTGTATAAGAAGAAGGGAGGGCACACCCGTAGAGGGGGATAAGTAGCTTTCTCTGAAAAAACAATGTGCTAAAGCTAAGAAATGAAATGTGTAATATAAAAGAGCAAACCAGGAAGAATTAACTATCGAAAAAATAATCAAGAATGACGAAACACTGCCTACACTCGAGAGGAAGCCACAAGCAACCACAAACTAGCAACAAATTACCAATTACAATAAATAACAAATACAAATAATAACAAATTGCAAATAAAAGAATTTAAACAAGACCCGAACCAAGGGCGAAACCTAAGAGCAACAGATAAAGAAACAGAAAACGATAAAGAGCGAGATAGGCATAGAGAAAGAGACACAGAGAGAGAGAGAGAGATAGAGAGAGCAACCACAGTTCGTATTCGTAGATAGCCAAGTAAAACAATTGTCGATCGCCCTTGGGAGACCTATTCACTATTCTGGCGCTGCCGGGGTTCAATAGTAGCATCAGCATAGCATACAATAACTAAGCAGATCTGTACAGTCCAGATGAAATGAACCGTGTAATTAACCAACTGCAAGCAATGTACTTAGTGGTTGACTAGCAAGAAGAGTACTCCAAAGAGGAGAATAGAATTTCAAAGTTCACTGTTAATAAACCATAACGAAAACAGACACGACAGTTTGTAGTGGGTGTGGATGTAGATGTCTAATTGCATACATTACCAAAATAATAATAGCAGAGCAGACGAAAAAAAGAGTTCTGGAAACGCCTCCACAAGCCATAGATCGTTAAAGCCAAACGAAACCCGAAACAAGGAAATCCAAAAAGTGAAACATAACATAAAAATAAAAGAGTAATGAAGAACATACGATCAAGAGATCCGATCCTAGTTAATTAAATTGTACATTCAGCTGTAAGAGCAATGCGTATATAGTACGGATATATGTATATGATGTATATGTATATGCAAATGTGTATCGTAATATATTAAAACTTAATTTTACAAAAAAAAAAAACAAACAAGATAGACTGCTTGCTTTTTGGGGGGATTGATAGTGGTCATAAAACTGGCATGGTGGCCTGGTTTAAGGACAACTGTGAGGAACAACTCAAAACTTTAAATTCCATTATGCTTGTTAAATCACCCATTCTTAGGCTCCAAAGCTGCTTGGCTAGTTGAAATGGTAAATCAAATAAAATATCATTGACAGGGCTTTATTTTTAGCCACGCCCATCGCCGCAAGTCACGCAATGTCCATTGATTAGCATAATTAATGCCAAAAACTTTGCAATCATGTGCAAAGTATCAAGAAACTGCCAAAAACCGAAGCGAAAATCAGCAAAAGCGAAAGTATGTTAGCATAAATCGATCAATAGGAGCAGTAGGAGAAGGCCCCAAGGCTCTCTATGGGTTTGGGGGTCCGTACCTACTCCGATGGCGGCGTCACAGGTATAAACCTATTTATAAACATGCTTTAAGACGAGACCACAAGGAACAGGACTAGGCCCCCGGCTGGGAGGCTCGTTCGCTCCTTGGTTGCGTTTCCTTCTGTGCCAAATTCAATGGAGTGACTGCCAGGTGACACACGGCACAAGCGCAATGGCTGCATGACTTCTTCTCCAGAGACAAGGAGGAGCAGCTGGGGCCTGGGGTATGGGGTATGGGCAGGGGCAACATAACAATAAATACCGCTAGGCAACCGTAAATTCCTTAGCATGAATCGATTTAACGAACCCCGTGGGAGAGACTAGGAACCCAATTGCAAGTCGAGCCGAGAGTCTAGTCCGACTCAGAATCAGATTCAGGCAGGTACAGATTTTTTCTTTCTCAGAAACAAAGTGTGCCAGTTAAAGGCAGTCGAATCGATTCGAATATAGTTGTCATATCCTTATTACTGTAATCGTAGTCCCCCAAAACCTATTCTCAATCAAAAGTTGCAAAAAAATTTCATAAAGCGAACAATCAACTATATTTCTTACGCAATCTTTGCTGCACAGAGCATCGTTCACCATGTTGCCCAATCTGAAGGCACGTCGCATCACTGGCATGCAGTTGGCAGGCAAGCATCTGGGTCCCGTGGCCAAGTGCCCGCCCCGCTACTCTGAGGAGGACTGGGACTACAATAACAAGATCAAGTTTAGGATTACCTGCGACCAGGAGAAGCTGGCCGAGCGCATTGTCGAGTGAGTATCTTTAGTATCTTTAGGGATGGAATGCCATTTCCACAACTTTTTCCCATCCCAGGGAATCGCGTCGCGTGGTTGACGAGACGAAGGACACCACCAAGAACTGGCAGCGCGAAGTAGAGCACCACATGCGCGAGCGCACCAGCGAGATCCGCTTCCTGGTGGACGAACTGAATCGCCAGAAGAAGACGGCCATGCTGGAGGACGAGGCCCTGAACACATATCGCAATAGGGTGCTGAATGCCATCGAGTTCCTTAAGGAGAAGTCTCTAGCCATTTGCAAGCAGTGCCTGATTCTTCGCGAGGGCCGCATCGGGGTCGATCTTTGCGATGATGAGGTGGATCGCTCGCTGCGCCGCGAGCTGAAGGTGATCAAGGGCTGTCAGGGGCTAGCTGATGCCGCTCTAAAAGAGGCCGAGGAGCAGATTCGCAAGCTGCGCGCAGCTATCTATCTGCTGGACCAGGATCTGGCCGCCAAGGACAAATCTCTGGCCATTGATGAGAAGAATCTCAAGCTGAAGGAGTTCCAGCATGACCTCGGCAAGGGTCAGGACTTATCCAAGTCGCACTGGTAGGTTACCACTAATCAGTAGTCGATGGTAGGGTTTCTGTATTCCCTTTGATTTATTTCCCAGCCAATTCTCCTTGACCGAATGGCAGGCACAGACCTACGAGAACCTGGAGGCCAATGCCAAGGCCCTGGTCTCGGCCGGCCAGCTGCGCGCCTACATTGATCTGCTTCTAAAGCAGGTCTGCGAGGACATGCAGAACCAGACGGACCGCACTAACGAAGCCTTCGAGCGGCGCATTGCCGAGACGAAGCACGTGAAGCAGTGCCTGGAGAACAAGCACAAGGACACCATGGACCACATTCACCAGGTGCAGCGCAACATGACCGATCTGGAGAAGGAGATGATGGACAAGCAGCGCGCCATTACTCTCTGTCAGACGCGACTCAGCAATCGCGCCCATCGCCCGGGACTAGAGCTGACATGCGATATGGTCCAGGATGCGCTCTATAACGAGTTGCAGGCCCTGAAGGCCTCCGTCTGCAAGCTGAATCAGAAGCTGAACGAGAACAAGGCATCAATGCGTTACTTGATGCATGTCCAGGTCATGCAGGAAGAGGAGATAAATATAAAGGCAAACACTTGCAAGATCGACGAGGTGGATTGCATGACCTTACGCCAGGCACTTAAATACCAATCGTTCTAGGCAACCATCTTCCACTAGTAGTCCAGCCTCATATACACAAACAACTATTAATCAAATTATATGCATACGCATTTCGTGTTCAATTCAAAATTAATTATTAAATTGAAATTCACTTTCGATTTCAAGCTAGAATCAACAAAGAAATTTGAATTAAAATTTTAAAGTAGGTATTTCTTTGGTATTGTTTCGCCTACACTTGTATCGGTTGGACGTGAAGCTTTGAGTATGACATCTGGATTAATGTGACATTAGACTCTGCTAACTGAATAACTGCAAAAACAGAGATAGCTTTATGGGAAAAGCATGCAGTGAGAGCGAGAGGTATATGCTGTGCGCACTTGTTGACGTCCCTTTGCAAAATTACACAAAACAGAAAAAATTCTACGAATTTTTTGACAATGACTGGGGAACCCTTTTGAAAGTTAATTGAAAGCCAATGATCTAGCTTCCAATAGAGATTACGAATTTGTCATTCCTCTTGAAAGCATATTTCATAATATATTTGCACGGAATAGTGGCCTTCACTTTTCCGTGTCCTGTGCCACTGGTCCTGGGAAAGTGGGTCACCGATCTGGCAGTATTTGTCTAAAATATAGCCTTCCGAAAATTCGGACTTGCGTATCATTTATAGGCTGCTTTTTTCTTATATCTCTGCAATACGGCAGCCGATCTGGGAGCGGCACGTCTCTCCGTGATCGTGAAAGTCCTGCCAATCGACTGCCATCAGAAAAAGGGACATACATTTCTTCACGATTTTCGCAAAATATCATGATGGTTACATCATTAAATTTGCCAAAAATCGGCCTCATTTTCGTAGTCGAGACTTTGATGCCGTTCGACAGTCTGAATCCTCGCGATCCTGGGAGAGTATGTCCCTCACCGTACTGTCCCTATTTGCCTGAGATATAGCCTTGATGCCGTTCGACAGTCTGAATCCTCGCGATCCTGGGAGAGTATGTCCCTCACCGTACTGTCCCTATTTGCCTGAGATATAGCCTTGCGAAGATTCGGATTTGCGTATCATTTAGAGGATGCTTTTTTCTTATATCTCTGCAATACGGCAGCCGATCTGGGAGCGGCACGTCTCTCCGTGATCGGGAGAGTCCTGCCAACCGATTGACACCAGAAAAAGGGACATCCACTTTTTCACGATTTTCGCAAAAAATCATGATGGTTACATCATTAAATTTGCCAAAAATCGGCCTCATTTTCGCAGTCGAGACTTTGATGCCGTTCGACAGTCTGGATCCTCGCGATCCTGGGAAAGTAGGTCCTTCCCCGATCGGGCCCTATTTGTATGAGATATAGCCTTCCGAAGATTGACATATCATGAAAATACTGGTTTCTTCTGCACGCTATATCTCTGCAATACGGCAGCCGATCTGGGAGCGGCACGTCTCTCCGTGATCGGGAGAGTCCTGCCAACCGATTGACACCAGAAAAAGGGACATCCACTTTTTCACGATTTTCGCAAAAAATCATGATGGTTACATCATTAAATTTGCCAAAAATCAGCCTCATTTTCGCAGTCGAGACTTTGATGCCGTTCGACAGTCTGGATCCTCGCGATCCTGGGAAAGTAGGTCCTTCCCCGATCGGGCCCTATTTGTATGAGATATAGCCTTCCGAAGATTGACATATCATGAAAATACTGGTTTCTTCTGCACGCTATATCTCTGCAATACGGCAGCCGATCTGGGAGCGGCACGTCTCTCCGTGATCGGGAGAGTCCTGCCAACCGATTGACACCAGAAAAAGGGACATACATTTTTTCACGATTTTCGCAAAAAATCATGATGGTTACATCATTAAATTTGCCAAAAATCGGCCTCATTTTCGTAGTCGAGACTTTGATGCCGTTCGACAGTCTGGATCCTCGCGATCCTGGGAAAGTAGGTCCTTCACCGATCGGGCCCTATTTGTATTAGATATAGCCTTCCGAAGATTGACATATCGTGAAAATACTGGTTTCTTCTGCACGCTATATCTCTGCAATACGGCAGCCGATCTGGGAGCGGCACGTCTCTCCGTGATCGGGAGAGTCCTGCCAACCGATTGACACCAGAAAAAGGGACATCCACTTTTTCACGATTTTCGCAAAAAATCATGATGGTTACATCATTAAATTTTCCAAAAATCGGCCTCATTTTCGTAGTCGAGACTTTGATGCCATTCGACAGTCTGAATCCTCGCGATCCTGGGAGAGTATGTCCCTCACCGTACTGTCCCTATTTGCCTGAGATATAGCCTTGCGAAGATTCGGATTTGCGTATCATTTAGAGGATGCTTTTTTCTTATATCTCTGCAATACGGCAGCCGATCTGGGAGCGGCACGTCCCTCCGTGATCGGGAGAGTCCTGCCAACCGATTGACACCAGAAAAAGGGACATCCACTTTTTCACGATTTTCGCAAAAAATCATGATGGTTACATCATTAAATTTGCCAAAAATCAGCCTCATTTTCGCAGTCGAGACTTTGATGCCGTTCGACAGTCTGGATCCTCGCGATCCTGGGAAAGTAGGTCCTTCCCCGATCGGGCCCTATTTGTATGAGATATAGCCTTCCGAAGATTGACATATCATGAAAATACTGGTTTCTTCTGCACGCTATATCTCTGCAATACGGCAGCCGATCTGGGAGCGGCACGTCTCTCCGTGATCGGGAGAGTCCTGCCAACCGATTGACACCAGAAAAAGGGACATACATTTTTTCACGATTTTCGCAAAAAATCATGATGGTTACATCATTAAATTTGCCAAAAATCGGCCTCATTTTCGTAGTCGAGACTTTGATGCCGTTCGACAGTCTGGATCCTCGCGATCCTGGGAAAGTAGGTCCTTCACCGATCGGGCCCTATTTGTATTAGATATAGCCTTCCGAAGATTGACATATCGTGAAAATACTGGTTTCTTCTGCACGCTATATCTCTGCAATACGGCAGCCGATCTGGGAGCGGCACGTCTCTCCGTGATCGGGAGAGTCCTGCCAACCGATTGACACCAGAAAAAGGGACATCCACTTTTTCACGATTTTCGCAAAAAATCATGATGGTTACATCATTAAATTTTCCAAAAATCGGCCTCATTTTCGTAGTCGAGACTTTGATGCCATTCGACAGTCTGAATCCTCGCGATCCTGGGAGAGTATGTCCCTCACCGTACTGTCCCTATTTGCCTGAGATATAGCCTTGCGAAGATTCGGATTTGCGTATCATTTAGAGGATGCTTTTTTCTTATATCTCTGCAATACGGCAGCCGATCTGGGAGCGGCACGTCCCTCCGTGATCGGGAGAGTCCTGCCAACCGATTGACACCAGAAAAAGGGACATCCATTTCATTTTCGGAGTCGACAGTTTGATGCCGTTCGACAGTCTGGATCCTCGCGATCCTGGGAGAGTATGTCCCTCACTGTACTGTCCCTATTTGCCTGAGATATAGCCTTGCGAAGATTCGGATTTGCGTATCATTTAGAGGATGTTTTTTTCTTATATCCCTGCAATACGGCAGTCGATCTGGGAGCGGCACGTCTCTTCGTGATCGGGAGAGTCCTGCCAATCGAGTGCCATCAGAAAAAGGGACATCCACTTTTTCACGATTTTCGCAAAAAATCATGATGGTTACATCATTAAATTTGCCAAAAATCGGCCTCATTTTCGTAGTCGAGACTTTGATGCCGTTCGACAGTCTGGATCCTCACGATCCTGGGAGAGTAGGTCCTTCACCGATCGGGCCCTATTTGTATGAGATATAGCCTTCCGAAGATTGACGACATATCAAGAAAATACTGGTTTCTTCTGCACGCTATATCTCTGCAATACGGCAGCCGATCTGGGAGCGGCACGTCTCTTCGTGATCGGGAGAGTCCTGCCAACCGATTGACACCAGAAAAAGGGACATCCATTTCATTTTCGGAGTCGACAGTTTGATGCCGTTCGACAGTCTGGATCCTCGCGATCCTGGGAGAGTATGTCCCTCACCGTACTGTCCCTATTTGCCTGAGATATAGCCTTGCGAAGATTCGGATTTGCGTATCATTTAGAGGATGTTTTTTTCTTATATCTCTGCAATACGGCAGCCGATCTGGGAGCGGCACGTCTCTCCGTGATCGGGAGAGTCCTGCCAACCGATTGACACCAGAAAAAGGGACATCCACTTTTTCACGATTTTCGCAAAAAATCATGATGGTTACATCATTAAATTTGCCAAAAATCGGCCTCATTTTCGTAGTCAAGACTTTGATGCCGTTCGACAGTCTGGATCCTCGCGATCCTGGGAAAGTAGGTCCTTCACCGATCGGGCCCTATTTGTATGAGATATAGCCTTCCGAAGATTGACATATCGTGAAAATACTGGTTTCTTCTGCACGCTATATCCCTGCAATACGGCAGTCGATCTGGGAGCGGCACGTCTCTTCGTGATCGGGAGAGTCCTGCCAATCGAGTGCCATCAGAAAAAGGGACATCCACTTTTTCACGATTTTCGCAAAAAATCATGATGGTTACATCATTAAATTTGCCAAAAATCGGCCTCATTTTCGTAGTCGAGACTTTGATGCCGTTCGACAGTCTGGATCCTCACGATCCTGGGAGAGTAGGTCCTTCACCGATCGGGCCCTATTTGTATGAGATATAGCCTTCCGAAGATTGACGACATATCAAGAAAATACTGGTTTCTTCTGCACGCTATATCTCTGCAATACGGCAGCCGATCTGGGAGCGGCACGTCTCTTCGTGATCGGGAGAGTCCTGCCAACCGATTGACACCAGAAAAAGGGACATCCATTTCATTTTCGGAGTCGACAGTTTGATGCCGTTCGACAGTCTGGATCCTCGCGATCCTGGGAGAGTATGTCCCTCACCGTACTGTCCCTATTTGCCTGAGATATAGCCTTGCGAAGATTCGGATTTGCGTATCATTTAGAGGATGTTTTTTTCTTATATCTCTGCAATACGGCAGCCGATCTGGGAGCGGCACGTCTCTCCGTGATCGGGAGAGTCCTGCCAACCGATTGACACCAGAAAAAGGGACATCCACTTTTTCACGATTTTCGCAAAAAATCATGATGGTTACATCATTAAATTTGCCAAAAATCGGCCTCATTTTCGTAGTCAAGACTTTGATGCCGTTCGACAGTCTGGATCCTCGCGATCCTGGGAAAGTAGGTCCTT